AGGGGGTCTCACAGGGTGACGATGTCGGCGTTGGCCGAGTCCATGGCGATGGTCAGGGGGTCCCTCCCGTCCGCGTCCACCGCGTTGACGTCGGCCCCCCGCTTCAGGAACAGGCAGGCCAGGCTGCAGTTTGTCCAGGGGGGACAATTTGGGGACATTTTAGGACATTTGGGGACATTTTGGGACATTTTTCGGCATTTGGGGATGCGGGGATTCGAAGGGGACGCGGTGAGGTTCAGGTCACCCATCCAGGTGTTGACCGAGGCAGAGCCTGCTTAGCTTCCCGTGTGGGAAAGTGTGCTGGGTAGCCACCCGAAAAAAGGGAGATTTTGGGGAGATTTGGGGAAGGTTTGCACCCCCCAAAAGGGACCCCCCGTAATGGGATTGGGATTCACTAAAGGGGAAATGGACCACGAGGATGGAATTGGGATCTCTCAAGGGAATATGGAGCCCTGAATGGAAGAGAGATCTCCTAAAGGGAAAAGGGACCCCCAAAATTGAATGGGACCCTCAAAGGGAAAAAGGACCCCCCAATAAGGGAAAAGAAACCCCCTAAAGGGAAAAGGTGCAACCCAACGGAACAAAGGCATTGAGGCACTGCCCCCAAATAGCAACACCCCCAAAACGAAACAGGAACCCCATAAAAGGGAATAGAGACCCCCCATAAAAGGGACTAGGGAACCCCAAAGAGAAGCAGGACCCCCAGAAGGAAACACACCACCCCCCAAAAATAGTGGGTGAACCCCTTTTTAATAAGGCCCTTCAGGTCACCCATCCAGACCCTGACCGGGGCAGACCCTGCTTAGCTTCGCGCACATCCGCTTTAGGGGTGAGCACCGCCACCATTCACTAAATGGGGGATGAAATCCCAGTTCGTCCCAGTCCCTCCCAGTGCGCACCCGGTGTGTCCCAGCATGGTGGCGTGGTGCAGCGGCCCCCGCCCGTGGCTGTCGCTCTGGTTGACGCTGGCTCCGTTCTGCAGCAGGAACTCGCAGGCCAGCAGGGAATTCTGGGAGGGAACGGAGTGAGGGGAGAGGTTTAGGGACCCCCCCCCCCAAAAAAAGGGACAACCTCCCAGTGCTCCCAGTACCCTCCCAGTGCCCTCCCAGTGCCATCCCAGTGCCCTCCCAGTGCCATCCCAGTGCTCCCAGTGCCNCCCTCCCAGTTCCCTCCCAGTTACCACGGCCACGGCCTCCAGCAGGGGGGTCCGGTTGCCCTCGGCCGTGTTGACCCAGCCGGGGTCGGCGCCGTGGGCCAGCGCGTCGGCCATGGTGGCCAAACGGCGGCGCTTGGTGGCCCAGAAGAGCAGAGCCCCGGGGTGCAGGCAGGGGGCGCCCTCGGGCTCAGCCGGGTCTGGGGGCGGAGCTTTCAGGAGAAAAAGCCACGCCCACAAAGCGCAGCACAAGCCCCGCCCACCAAGGCACAAGCCCCACCCATTGGTTGTGAAGCCACGCCCCCCACCGCATGTAGCAGCCAATCAAAATGCAGGCTCTAATCTACATCCACATCATTAATCTCTAATTAATAACGCAGCAATCTCTAATTAACAACACGCTCCCTAATTGACATCACAAGCCACACCCCCTTGGATTAAGCCCCTCCCCTTCACAACCGGCCACGCCCCCTTTCACGAAGCCACGCCTACTGAAAACAATCCACGCCTCTTTATGCAAATCACGCCCACTTTAAAGCCACGCCCCTTTTCAATTAAACCACGTCCCTTTACCTTAGCCCCCACCCTTTCACAAGCCCCACCCCTTTTCAATTAAACCACTCCCATTTCCCCCCTTAAGCACCACCCCCATAACAAACCCCGCCCCGTAACAAGCCACACCCCCTTTAAACCAAGCCACACCCATTTCAATTAAGCCCCGCCCCTCCCCACCAAATCCCACCTTTTTTTTTGCACGAAGCCCCACCCCTTAAAATTAAGCCACACCCCTTTCCCATAAACCACGCCCCCTTTAAAAGCAAACCCCACCCTGTTCATTTAAGCCCCGCCCCTTTCCCCATCAAACCACGCCCCTTTCACACAAACCCACGCCCCTTCTCCCTTACCGGGGGCGGGGCCTGTGCCGGGGGCGGGGCCGAGGCGCGGTGGGCGGGGCCGGGGGGCGTGGCCGGGCACGCCCTGCAGGAATTTCTTCTCCACGTACTTGGCTCGGATCCAACTCTCGCGCTGGGCCCTGGGGGGGTTCGGGGGGATTTTGGGGGGTCCTGGGGGGTCCTGGGGGGAATTTGGGAAAATTTGGGGGAAAATTGGGGAGATTTTGGGGGATTTGGGG